TCGTCATGTCATGACACGACGTCACACGAACCGCCAATGACGAGTAAGGCAGCGTTCAGACTTCGCGACGGCAGCGCCTCCGTCGCGTGTTCGGCGCGCATGCTTTCGACTGCATCGATCGCGTCAAACGCGCGACAGAAGCGCTGCCGTCGCGAACGCTGCCTAAATCGCGTTCCACGAGACAAGCCCTTTCCAGGACATTTCATTGACTTCTTGAATCGCAGAGGATACTAATTGTAAGTGCTGGGAATCGAGATTTTCGCTTAAAACTGTGGAGAAGTAGCTCAACTGTTAACGACCCACTAGCTCCAGCAGTTTTCCCTACATGCCCCAGTATTGAGCTGGACTGTGGACCTAAACTGAACTGGCGAAACGAAACATGTAAAAACAATAGAAACTCCGTTACCTCTGCATATCTCTCCTTGTCGGCCAGGGCCTTTCTTTCATACATATCTTTTTCATCCATAGACACATTTTTCCACATTCGGCCTAACTCCTGTGCAACCTGAAAACGAGGACTAAATGTAAGCGGTCCATAAAGCAGCTCCTATGCAAATATGACAGAATGGTCCAACCGCTCCGCTGTTGTGTTCACATTCTTCTCTTCTTATACTGACCCCGAAAAGGAACTGATTAACACAGAGTTTTATCCACTGCAGTCCGCTAGAGAGTGAGGGGAGGGGCATTTCGCACATTCGCTGCTTCCATTATCGTGCTGGTTGCTTTACAAGAGGTGGCAGGTATTCTTTATAAGAGTTGTCAAGTAATTTCGGCAAACTGATACCGTTGACTGGTATCATTTTAGGGCTTCTCAAGATTTCACAAGTCCACAAAAATGGCTCGACACGTCGATGAGAAGTAGCAAAAATTTAAAATGCTCCTTCATGGCCGATTGCGCCACAAAAATATACGAAGAACAAAAATCATCTGCAGTACCTGTCCAACTTTCCACTCAGGATGCATCTGTTGCACTTCAGGCCTTCTATCCTGTGAAAAGAAGAAGAAAGCCGAACTGAAAGAGAAAACTTGGCATGAACGATAACTCAGTTGCAGTATAACTCTAGATCACTTACAGGGCACGTTTCGGTGCATTCGGGTCTTTCTTTGCGCGTTTTCGCTTTCGCATGGCGTCTTCTCCACCATATGCTGCTACCTTAACATTTTAAACCTCATACAATAAAGCTCTATTGTCCAAAAGCCTGCAATAAAACATGATGGAGCCGCAATTTTAGATGACATCATCGTGCATTTGCAGCATTTGACGAGCAAACTGGTAAACACATAAAAACACCCAGTGACGTAGGTTTAGCTGGATTACCCCATATTCCAGCGATTTTGATGTAAATTGAGAACGCTGAGGCATATTACCACTGCTAGCTCATAAAAAGCGCTGGATCCAAATCGCTGGACGCTGCACCCCTATAGGGCCTAACCCAGCATTTTCAGAAGAAGGGAGACTTGAGATAAGTTCACTTGGAGAAACGACACTGTTGGTTCGATTTCAAGGTTCCGCTTTGAGCGCGACGAATCACTCGATCTGTATGCAATCTCTAACGGTTTCGAGGAGTTCGCGGTTCTCCAGCTGGGCAGAGTCAAGTCGACGTTTCACATTAACAAGACTGACGCTCATTACGAATGCGAAATCCTTTCCACTAATAATAATAATAAGGAAGGTATCTGAAGGTAATATCGGAATACTCAGACATCCATCCGCTACCGGACAACAGCCTAGCAATCGGTTAGTGATAATGGGGAAGGGAGGGGGGACGAACGCTAAACGCTCAATCTCACAACAGTAATTTCACGGACACGGTACAGGGCTGACTTCTGATGCTCCATTCCAGCTCACGGGGTCAAACATTCCTGAATGCTCTAGTTAGGTGATCTCGGAGTCGAAAAATCACCAACCAAATCACCACTTGGACGACCTAGCATCAGAGCTACACAGGAGGAATCAAGCGGTTTTAGGAGCTTTCAAGAACATCCAGGGCAGGGCACATCGTTGTTGGGGAACCCTTAAGAGGAAGGGGAGGGTCGTATTTGGCCGCCAGTAGACGGGGGGTCGTATTTGTGCTGAGAATTATTTTGATATTTGACTTTTCTTGCTTCACGGACGTTGCAAAGGGGGGGTCGCATTTGCTCATTGTTGGGAGGGGAGGAGGGTCGTATTTACTTTCTGGCCTTTGTACATAGGAGTGGTGGGAGTGGTTGTTGACTTTTCGTGATTTTCTTGCTTCATGCGTGCTATATTCCCCCCCCC